TGAACCTACATTTTACTTTTCTTTTTGAAGACGATATTCGGAAAATTGAATTATTCTTAAAATTCTTGAAACACTTGAGATGCCCACAGCAACAACCGCATCTCTATCTCTCAAAGTCACAGAAGAGTGTTCATTACGAATGATTATTTTAGAAAACATCCTTTTTTAGAGTATTATCCCCATCTCAGAACAAGTAAAAGTAATACGTGTTACAAGGAACGCGAACCAGCTGCCACCCTTAAGGGCTCACAACTAGCCAATTGATGCACCAAAATTAACAAAAGAGTCACACACACAAGGTCCAAATAAAATTCGTAGGTCCTTACTCTTCAACTAAAATATTGTATCCAAAAATCCAGGCATAATAAATCCACGACTGCTTCAGTGGCTCAAAATTTATTTTGAGATTACAGCCACACACACACAACACAAAACAACATTAAAAAAACTAAGTACATTTAAATTTGATTTGCTAACACTATTTTGTGTCCAGCCTCGCCAAATGTATATAAATCCTATCACGCTCATTCCGCCATCTTGTCTTTCTTCCTTCCTGTCTCGTTGTTCGTCTCCGTCTGATTTCTATGGCGGCGCTACCTATAAAGTTTTACATGCCAGGCGAATCTTACAGTCCATCAATTACATTACTTACAGGCAGATATAACGAATTATAGGGGATTTAAGACATCACACTGATAATCACATACCAACTCAGACAAGAAAAAAAATGTTGTCCCAATTAATTCGGACAGTACAGTAATAAAGTTATTTCGACTGTTCATTATTACAAAATTTTATTTAACTTGCAATGTAAAATGTTTGGGTGGAATCTTGAAACGGAATTTTGTAGTTGATGTCTTCAACAGATTGAGCTGAAATTTTGCAAACACGTTTAGTTTGGATGACAATGTATGTTTTGCTTACTTATATTCCGATATCAGAATGAGTTAAAAAGATAATTATTAAAGTAATTTGTTCGGGTGGAATATTGCAATTCAATTGTGAAGCTGATTTCTTCAACCGATTGAGCTGAAATTTTGTATACACAGTTAGTTTGGATGACACTGCATGTTCTGATTATTTATATTCCAATACCGCTATCAGTTAAAAAGATATTAATTAAAAAATCTTAACCATGTTAAAGGCTTACTTTAACTCTTTCCACCAGCCCTCGTGGCTTAGTGGTTAGAGAAGCTGACTTTAAGTGATTTGCTCCGGGTTCGATTCCCAGGAGCACGCAGTTTTTAAATTTATTTTAAATCACTTTAATTTATCTTGGAAAATTATTTATGATGATCAAATTTAATTTTCTACCTTTAATGTTTTTTTTACAAGCTTTTACTTAACTTGTAATGTAAAATGTTCAGGTGGAATCTTGCAACACAATTTTGAAGCTGACGTCTTCAACAGATTGAGCTGAAATTTTGTATACCCGTTTAGTTTGGATGACACTGCATGTTCTGATTATTTATATTCCAATATCGTAATTACTTAAAAATATATTAATTAGAAAATCTTAACCATGTCAGAAGCTTACTTTACCTCTTTCCGCCAGCCCTCGTAGCTTAGTGGTTAGAGAAGCTGACTTCAAATGATTTGCTCCGGGTTCAATTCCCGGGAGCTCGCAGTTTTTAAATCACTTTAATTATCCTTCGAAAATATTTTCTCTTGATCAAATTTAAATTTCCAAGTTCTTTAATGTTGGTTTTTATTTATTTATTTATTTTTTTTAATTACAAGCTTTTATTTAACTTGCTATGTAAAATGTTAGGGTGGAATTTTGCAATTCAATTTTGAAGCTGATGTCTTCAACCGATTGAGCAGAGATTTTGTATACGCGTTTAGTTTGGATGACAATGCATATTTAAACTATTTATATTCCGATATCGCAATTAGTTAAATAGATATTAATTAAAAAAATTTTACCCTGTTAGCTTTTCTTCTTTCCCATGTTAGAATCTTACTTTACCTCTTTCCACCAGACCTCGCGGCCTAGTGGTCGAGAAGCTAACTGCAAATGAATGGCCCCGGGTTCGATTACCGAGGGCTTGCAGTTTTTAAATTTACTTTAAATCACTTTCATTTTCTTTCGAAAATTATTTCTCTTGATCAAATTTAAATTTCCACGTTATTTTCTGTTTTTTACAAACTTTTATTTAACTTGCAAAGTAAATTGTTCGGGTGGAAACTTGTAGCTCAATTTCGAAGCTGATGTCTTCAACCGATTAATCTGAAATTTTGTATATGCACGTTTAGTTTGGATGACAATGCATGTTTTGACCACTTATATTCCGATATCGTTATTAGTTAAAAATATATTAATTAATAACCTTTTACCGCTGTTAGCTTTTTATTCTGCCTAGCAGCTTATCGGATTGAGCTTAAAGAAGATTCGATTTTTCGACCTTTTTTAAAAAACCATCTCATTCTTTATATCAAACTGAGGCAAAAAAATAATTACATAATCCGAAAGATCATTTATTTCGACACCATACGGTACAGATCTTTTTAGAAAATAATTATTTTTTCTATTTTTTACGATTTCTTCTAAAATGAGTCAAAATCGATGCGTTTTCATGAAAGTGATTTCTAAACCATTGCGTATGAATTTTTTTTTTTTTCGTTTTAATGAATCGATATTCTGCACTAAGAAAGCTCAAGCTTTCCGCTTTTAGAATCAGTCATTTGAAAAATCAAATGCCGAAAAAAAATTTTTTACGAATTTTTAAAAAAAACTCAAATTTTTAATAAAACATTTAAAAACTTCGTCATTTTTAAAGATAATCTTACGAAACTTTCTTTTCGTTCGTAGAAAAGTATTATCAAAATTCTGCACAAAGATTTAAAAAATTGATTTAAAAGTATAGATTTAAAATTTTTTTGTGTTTTTCGTTTTTATTAGTTTATAGTAAAAGCAACACAAAAAAATGAGTTTTAATATTTTGATTAATTTAGCTTTTCCAATGTTGTTTTGGTCTTACAGTGTCTTATCCCCCTTCCTATTATCCTCTTGTTGCGGCCCGAGTGAAATATCTATCATATAATTGTGGCCTAGCGGGAAAAGCTCAACCCCTTAGCTCAACGATACTTAACCTACATCCCGCGGGCCGCATGCGTCCCACCGAGCTTTTTTAAGTGACCCGGTCATGACCCATTGCTTTGAGAAATATCCTTATTGAAGATCATCGTATTAAAAATTTGGCGGGAAATTCTTTACCAAGAAATAAAATATATCAATTTTGCTTTTTGCTGTCGGTGTCTCACGTTTACGAATTAATATTCTTTTTTTTTATTTGGAGTGGTTACGGTAAGCGATAACAGACTACAGTGGAGTACTGACCATTTTATGGGTGGAACTAATTTTTCCCTATCTTTCATATCTTGCAAGCAAAAAATATTCGAAGAAAATATACCATTTCAAGAAGATTGGGAGGTTGACTATTTTGTAGTGAAAAACAAACATGGATCATTAATTGTTTCATTTGTCATGAAAATTCTGTATTTAAAGAATACCAATTAACAGAAATCATTCAATGACACTTTTCTTCAATATCTCTTTTAAGAGGTAATAAGTAGGCTTTATTGAATAGTCTTTGCAACAGCATCAAAGCCTTTTGTCAGTTCCAATATCACAGCGGTAACAAAGGCATCCTATGAAGTTTGTTATATTATTGGTAATAATATAAAACCGTTTACTAATGCAGAACTTGTGAAGGAGTGTTTCTTAAATGTTTTTAATTTAGTCTTAGTGACAAAAATAAAAAATATAAAAAATAATAATTAAAAATAGCAAAACATAAGTTATAACATTTTGATCAATTTTTCGACATTTTAAAGACCAATGTTATCTTGGTCTTAAAGCATTTCTACTCCCACCCTCCATCATTTATCCTCATATTTCGACCAGCGCGAAATAACTAGCATATGTATGCGGCCCACGTGAAATAGATGACATATGTATGCGGCTCATTAAAAAAAAAAGGTTGTGTAACCCTGCCTTATCTGAACTGTTCAAAATTAACCGGCAAACGACCTTGTTACAATAATGCTTTGAATGAGATGAACAGACTGAGAAACCTCTTTCTAGCGATAACTAAAAAGTAAAAAAATAAATTAAAAGTAAAAAAAAAAACTTTTTTAAGAACAAGCTTTTATTTAAATGCTCTAAATGGAATAAAATAAACTTTTCTTTTAAAACCCTTTTTGCTATCAACCTATAACGTCGTTACACAATTTACGATATAAAACTTTTCGCGAGATTTACCTGTGTAGATAAACAAGCAAATCAAATAACATGAGATCTGATTGATTTTAATTTTTAAAATTTTCAGACTAAGTAAATACGAGTACTTAAATCTCGCGACAAGCTTTTATATCATAAATTGTTTAACGCCGTTATAAGTTGATAGCAAAACAAAAGTTTTAAAAGAAAAGTTTATTTTATTCTTTTTAGAGCATTTAAATAAAAGCTTGTTCTTAAAAAAGTTTTTTTTTATACTTTCAATTTATCGAATATTCCTTATGCAAATCCATAAAACATCTACATAAACTTTCAGTCATAGCCAGAGAATCATTCCTGCTTTACCGGAACGACAATGTTTGCAAACCACTAACTTTATGCAAGATGGAGGAACTCCTCAAATTGGGTGCCAAGTAAAAAAGCACTGCTTAGTGCTAATTTTGGCGATAATCGTGATTATCGAGATATTTTCCAGATGCACGGCCTTCTCGCTCAAACGAATTAAGTCCCTGTGATTTCTGGCTGTGGGGATTTCTAAAAGACCATGTTTCTAGAGGAGAAATTAGGACTTTCCCTGATTTGAAAGCTAGCATTACACAACATGTGACTGAAATCTCTCACTACGATTGAAAACGCTTTAATGCGCTTTCAACACGTTATTGGTACCAATGGAGCCCCTATTGAGCGTATTTTGTAATTAAATAAATTTTAATGATTCTAGATTATTTTTTTATCCTTCTTTGGACACCCAGTTTCCTCCTGGTCGTCGAAATTTGAACTATTTTTTTATTGCAGAAACCTTTTCCCCATGGTCCATGTAGCATATATTCTAAGTTATATCAAAATCCGATAAGCCTAACCGGTTCTACAGACCTCTGAATAGTTTAACTTTAATTATAATTACCCGGTACATAATATACATTCAATTTATTTTTTTTTTTAAATTTTTGTTGAAAAAGTAGTTTTATTTTATAATGAATATTTTTATATATGTTAAGGAACATATTTAAACAGTGAGTGAATATTAACATTGCTCTATTCAGCTGCGTGAAAGTTGTTGTCGACTATCCTCGTGATTTGTAACCAAGATCAAGTGACGAGGACGACACCTAAACTGGGAACCTACTCTCCTAACCACCACGCTACACCGCCGGGTGGACGTTTGAGATCTCGACAGATTTAACGTGTGATGCTTACCCACACACGGTCGGACTTCATGGTACTAGGCTCGAACTCATAACACGTCTGCCAGAAGTCCATTACCTCGACCACTACGCTAACAAGGCTACTCTTTAAACGATGCAAATTTAATGTGTAATATAACTGTAAATCTATAGTATGGACCTCTACTCTCTAAATCTGCACGCATTTTAGGCGGAAAACGAATTTTTAAAAATTTCATAATGTTTGGCATGCTGAATCATGTTGGTAGATGGGGTTGGCACGCCAAAGAAAAATAGTTGTTGATCCACACTTTAGAGAGTTATACGAATTCCAGCGTACTCGGTATTTTCTTTTAATTTTACTTATTTTTTACTATTTATTCATTTTCTTTCGAATCAAAACTCAGATTTTGTATACCTACACATTAGAAATTGGGAAAAAGGCTCAAATTTTCCAAACACGAAACAAACATTAAAAACTATAATTCGATTTCTATAATATATATGAAGCTAAAATTATATTTAAAAAAAATACGAAATTGAAAGTAAAAAATGTGTCATTCCCAAATTAAAATTTTTTATATTATTCAAAAAAAAAAAAAAAAAATTCACTCTGGTAGATTTTTACCAAATGTTTTATTTATTTCAATTAATGATATCATTGAAAGATTTAATTTACATAGCAAAATGACATCCAATTAAATATCTAAATTATTTCTGAGTATGATGCCGGTAATAATTTTAAATTGTAAAATTATTCAAACTGTAGGGAACAAGAGTGCTTGCTGTCGCTGTCGTCAACGGGCATACGGCTCGCAGAGCGAGCCTTTATCCCATTTCGTAGCATATTAATGGTGCCTGTGATAGTAGCGTCCTTGCTGAGAGGGAACAATCCGATTGGTTGAAAGAACGAGGGAAGTAGGCGTGGTTAACTGGTGCTTGGAGTTGTGGGCAGAATGGTGGTGAGAAGTGGAAAAAGTTCATCCTTGAGTGGCTCAGAGCCTGGCTTTTGATTGGCTAAGGGGGGGAGGTGAGTGAATTGGCATTGGATTGGCTGCCCTGAAGTTAATGAGAGGAATACAGCATGGGGAGTTTGCCTGTGTGTGGGAGCTATATACACACTAAATAATTAAGTTAAATAAATAAAATTTAGCAGTTCATTTGCCAAAAGGCAAATGAAAGAATTTAATGTTAAGGTGGGTTATAAGAGTCAAGAAGAATTCT